ATATGTTTATCATAGATGTGCCATTTTATAAAAGTAACATGTTCAGATGATGACTAATTGGTTCATTTAGGGTCCGTATAGTCAGTGGCGGACCCGGGATTTTGTCCCGGGGGAAGGGGTGGGGGTACATTCGAAAATAAATTACAGTGACTAAGTACAAAATTCCAGATTTGAACATTGATCACATTAAAGTAAGCAAAAAATATCAAGCCAGACTTGATTATGTATCAAATCATGAGATCAAGCCAGACTTTCCCATTGGTTCTTTTAAAACTCAAATGAGTAACTCAGTTTATCTTCTATTTTTCATCAAAAAAGAGAGCAGGAAGAAATGGCTTCTGTTCTCTTTGTGCTTGGCAGAGGAAACTTCAACAAGTCTATATGTTTCATAATGCATATCAAATTGACCCTCAATTCTCTATGGCACTGGCACATCCATATAATCAAATAAAAAACGCAAAGTACCAGTGAACCATCCGGATGAAATCATGAAACAAAATTTGACATATTGCATTCAACCAACAAGATACTAACATAAATTAAGCACTCAAGCATTCTATAATGGCTAACAAAGAGAAACAAAAACCATGAGAAAACAAGGATTACCTTCCTTAATAGGAAACAAAATTTTTATAAAATAACAAGGGAAAAAATATACAAGAAAAGATGGACAACATGTCCATCTAGGTTTGAAGATAGAAATACCTTTGAGGCATCATTGCTTGCAAGCAGACAGGTAAGAGTTTGAAGGACATTCAGAACCAATTTTTCTCCATTAGCCTCATCAAGGTTTCCATTTAGTAAAGAGACAACATGCAAAAAGCACTCTCCATCACGAAACAAAGTCTGATAGTACTGAATAAAACTCAAATTCATGAGACACTGGAACGTCATGTATTAACAAAAATAACTATCAAAAATGGAAAAGAAAAAAAAAAATCAAGGCATACCAAGGGATCAATCTGGAGCATATCTCTCATTCCGACCAGTAAACTGATAGACAGTTCTGCAAAGCTTTTCTCCCGTTCCTTTATTTGAGTGAATGTTTCTAAGTACTTAGAGCATAACTGCAACTTTGCTCTTTGATCCTCCTCAGATGATGATACACTCTGAAAAGTAACGGAAAAAAAAAATCCAAAACAGAATTAAACTTAATCAGTGATAAACACTTACAGTCAACAAAATATCAAATGAACACAAGGTTTATGGGAATACCTTCATCAGCTCAAATATATGCTTAAGGACATTTTTTCTCAAACCTTCTTCCCAGAATAAATCAAATAAATAACCAATACATTCAGGGCTATGCAGAACCAAACTTCTAGCATCTTCTGCTGTTGAGAAAAATTCCATATAGAGCTCCATAGACGTCTCCATGCATTTAAGCCATCTTTGCATTGTCTCATGTGAATTGGATTTTCGATTATTTGGAACCACTTCAACAACGTTACTCTCAACAGAAGGGCTTGCATTCACAAACCTTCTTGATTCTTGGGCTTGAATGCAAGCAACTTTAAGCACACGAGGAAATGCATTAACTGACTTAAAAGAAGCAACAGTTTTCTCAGCTGAAAGCTGTAATATGCGAATCAGACTCTTGGCAAGAACACTAGCAACTTCAGGATTGCAAGCAGACTGTTCAAGGGAATCTAACAGAGCAGACAATTCAGGCTGCCATACACAAAAGAGGCAAGAAGTAAGGAAAGATACAGAAAATTAAGATGCAGATGTTGTCTTGAAGCACTGCAATTACTATGACAAAAAGAACAAAAACATTGACAATTTGTTCGTCCCTCACAGGTATGCATTCAAGTTTACGAACATGTATAGAGACGCGTATGTGGAAGCCCTTCGAAAGATATTTCTCAGAGCTACACATCATTTTAATCTGCTGTAAGTATGGTAAGAGGAGAGGGTGGGATTTTGGGAGGATAGTTGGCTGAGAAAGAAACACCAGTTCCCAGCATTTTTTTTTTCTATTGCTTAAAAACAATAAAATAACGTAGAAAGTGGACAAGATGGCCACTACAAAGAAAGCAAAAGCAGAGCAGAAATATAAATGCTGGCGGATGCTAAAACAAACCCAACTCCTGACACACAACGGCTTTCCAGTCGAACCAATTGTCTATAAAAGATAAACCCTTAAATTCTGTACCAAAACCGAACATCATCCTGTAACTTTGACCAATTGCCATGTCTTTAAAAAATCCATTCTTTATTTCCTGTTGGCGTGATAAATTAGGTTCAGGTTTATTATTATTTAATATAGTTGGCTTTGTATGCTTACCCCTTTTGTATACTTTGTACATCTTATAAATACCTCAAAATGAGAAGAATAAAATCATTCCATTCATTCAGATTTCTAGATGATATCAGAGCAATCAATCTAATTGGCTCTACTGCGATCTGAAACCCTAAAACACTCTCTACTGCTGCCGCACATATCTAGGGTTTTTTCCTTGTGCCGTCGCTATTTTCCTTCTACTTTTTCTGCTGCCACCGCACCTCTCTAAGGTTGTTTACCCTGCTTCTCTGTTGCTGCAGCCTTCTAAACCTTCATCAAGGGTATATTGACCTTGGTGTCTACTCTTACCAGTGACACTAATCCATCTGCGCCCTTGTCAATATGTCTACTCTTACCAGTGACACTAATCCATCTGCGCCCTTGTCAATATGTCTACTCTTACCAGTGACACTAATCCATCTGCGCCCTTGTCAAAGACACCCACTGTTACCATTCAGCAAGACGTTGCTTCCTCTCCGATCAACATCAAAATGGATGGGACATATTATCGCCTCTGGTCCAAGGTTTTGGAGATGCATATCTCTGCTCATAAGAAATAGGGCTATATTTCTGGTATCAGGGCTGCACCCAACACTTCCTATCAGAAGTATGAAGAATGAGTGGCTGAGGATGCCTTAGTGAAGTCATGGCTCATCAGCTCCATGCATACCAATCTCATGGCAAAGGATGTGTGGGATACGGTGAAGAAGGCCTATCATGATGCTTCTGACTCTTCTCAAGTCTATGAGTTGATGAAGAAGTCCGTTCAACTTCGTCAAAATGGTTGGCCCTTATTCACTTATTTTACTGAGATGAATTCTCTCTTCATGGAATTGGATCATCGTCGTCTGAATGATCTTGAGAATCCATCCGATATTGCTAAATTGAAGAAACGTACTTCTAAAGAACGTGTCTACATATTTCTTGCTGATCTTGATCACAATCTTGACTAAGTGTGTAGTCGCGTGTTGGCTAGTGTACCTCTTCATGATCTTAATGAGGCTTATGCCATGATGCGTTGGGAGGCCCAACGAGAGTTACTATGACTGCCGAGGGCTCCACTGAGGCATCGGCTCTTGTGGCCAAGAAGGCTCAACCTCACCCAGTTCCTGACTCTAGTCCTAAATCCATCTCTTCTGGGTGTACTTACTGTAAAAGCAGAAAGCATGTGAGGGAAAATTGCTGTAAAGTGGTGGGATATCAGGAGTGGTTCAAACTGAAACAGGCTGCCCGCAAGGATAAACATAAATCCAAAGAATATTTAGTCTCATTGGACTCACCACAAACAGCCACTGCTGTTTCTTGTCCCTCAACCATTACAGGTAATATCGGTTGTGTTTTCTCCTCTACCTCTACACGACCTTGGATCATTGACTCTGGAGCATCTGATCACATGACTAGTGACTCTTCTCGGTTTGTCACTTTTACTCCACCTCATCGCAGCTCAGTTAAAGTTGCTAATGGTGTTCTTACTTCTATTCAAGGGGCTGGTTCACTTAGTTTGACACATGCTCTGTCATTGTCCTCTGTCCTATATGTTCCCTCTCTTTCCAATCATTTGTTCTATGTTCGTCAAATTACCAAACAATTAAATTATTTTGTAACCTTCTTTTCCACGACCTTCTCACAAAGATGACGATTGGAATTGGTAAGGAGAGGGGTGATCTCGATTATTTTGAAGAAACCAACTCTGCTGGCCATGTGTTTCAAGTTGATGGGAATCCTACATCAAAACTGGAGAAGATTATGTTATAGCACCATTGTTTAGCATATCCATCTTTCTTGTATTTGGAACACATATTCCCTAGTTTATTTACTAAGGTTTGGAGTTCTAGTTTACGGTGTGAATATTGCATTTTGGCTAAGAATCATCGAGTTAATTTTCAATCTTCCTCAAACAAAAGTGAACAACCTTTTGCTATTGTTAACACTGATGTTTGGGGTCCGTTTTCTTCTCCTACTTCTTCTGGTGCCAAAGTGGTTTGCATCAGTTATTGATGATTGCACTAGAGTTTGTTGGATTTATCTTATGAGGCAGAAAAGTTATGTGACTTCTATACTTCCCAAATTTTATCAATTGATTTGTACGCAGTTTTGGGCTCAAGTGCAGGTGTTTAGTTCTGATAATGGGAAGGAATACCTCAATCAGACTCTTACTGATTTATTCCATACGCATGGGATTATCCACCAAACGACCTGTGCGTATACCCCTCAACCAAACGGGGATCATAGAACGATTAACTGTAACTAAACGTAGCTTTAAATCTTGGTTGTCTCTAGTAGTTAGCTCAAACCTCAGTAACCCTAATTTATGTTCTACACATACAAGTCATTTGGTCATGTTTTTGTGGGTGCCTTAAGTGATAGAAAGTGTAAGTTTGTGTTGTTTACTTAATCTTGATAGTTGATATGTGTTATCTCTCGGGTTTGACTCCTAACAGCTTAAGCTTTGGAATGGAGAAACTTAACAACAACCATACAAAAACAAGAAGGCATTCCTTAATAACTTTATCAGCCTTACGACACCTAATACCCATATGAAACCCTAGAACCACTTTTGCATCCATACTTTACTAAGCACAATAAAACACCATGTATATATGGACACTAAAGTGCAAGTTCATTTGACCAGTTATCTTAAACAAAGCATGTAAGTACAGTGAAGAGTAAATGTAGGAAAACGCACATCATCAAGCAAGTGGAGACCTACCAAGTTATGTGCACTTCCATTAGAAGTTGCAGCAAACTCCAGGAAAGAAATTACTTCCATTTGGAGAATACTGTTGATGCCACTAAAAGCAGAAAGTAGTTCAGGAGGAGACTCCTCGTATGTGCAACACTCTCCAGAAAGGTCATCAGAAGCTGGTCCAAAGTAGAAAAAATTCTCAGAAAATATGAGTTCCCAGATTCCCTCGTCCCGAAATACTTTGAGTGATGCAGGGGATGAAACAAGAACCTTCCTAAATGCATTCAAAACACAATGCTGCAGAGTATTGACAAAGACCCTACAGATAAGGAAACAAACAAGAAAAAAGAGTGTCACAAGAAAGAGAGAGAAATTGAACAAGTACATTAAAACTGAGGCAGCAACATCTAATAAATAGTAAACAATATCTAACAAAAGAAACATAAGATGGTACATTACTGCTAATAGAAGTTCACCTTAAGTGGCTTGGCAAATCATTTTGATTTGAACAGGCCTTAATGCAGGGGAACACTGTAACAAGAACCCTCATAACCCATTTGATTGAAAGTTCACCATACAATGAAGAAACTGCCACAGCGATCTGGCCAGTGGACGCTTCGAGATCATGAGATTTAATATCTTCTGAAGCAGGAAGAAAAGAACAAAATACCCTGCTCAGCTTCACAGCATAATCACTCCAAAGTTGAGAGTAAGAAACATTGGCAGGAAGTGCAACAGAAGTCTCTGCTATATGGTTTTTCAGAGTCTTATCACTTCCAAAGTCAACCATAGGCATTTGGAAATCAAGTTGACCAGACATATCCTTCGTCTGCTGTTTGTACTCTTGAAACATGAAAGCAGGTGAGCAAAAGCTATTTGCGAATTTTTGAACTCTCCCATTTTCACACAGAAATTGCAAGTTGCTGATATTTCCATAGCTGCACACTCGTCAAGGGAATCATTTTTTTTTTGGGCATAAACTGAGAATCATTTGTGGCACAGATACAATCTCCCCTAGTATTTGGTAAACCACAGTAAAGGGAATAATGAAAAGGCAAAACTTCAGCCTTATTGTGTCAAACAGAAATCAATTGAATAGTAACAGTACTTTCCTTAAATCATGAGGGGCATACAATGTCAAAACAAAAATGCAACACTTCATTCAATATATGCATCCATGCAGCATGTATGCATAGAAGGACTCCAACAAATTCAGTGGGTACAAGCATAAATCCAATAAACACATAAGGTATACAACAAGAATCACAGCTCTCATGCATACAATAAACACTGTCGACCAAAAATAACTCCAACATACCAATTTAAACAAAAAGTACAAAAGCTTCATAAGTTAACCAACGAAGGACACAAAAGGATACACGGCCTCTTTGAGAACTTCCAGAGAGAGAACATGGAGCTGGAAAATTTTTAACAAGGTGTTCTCATATCTGCAATCAAATATCAGAAGTATATCAGAGCTTACAAGAGAAGGTACTGTATAACATAAAGAGCCAGAAGTTCCCACTCAAACAGGAAATATCCATCCATATATAATTCTCAGTCACTCTGAGTCAAGTCAGAAAAACTGTTAATTCACATAGTAAATCAATTCAAATCAGAGAAAGGTGACTATGTTGGTTAAATTTCTTCATAAAAAGCAAAATGAAAGCATATACAATTACGTTACACAGATTCCTCCCTTTGCAACTGCTCTTGGTAGTCATATATATTTCTATATTCAGGGTAAATGTTACTTTAGGCACCAAACTTCTTCAGCCCTTTTTGCATGACTTGCCACTTAATTACCATGGATAAATATGAACATGTTCTTAATATAGATACATGCATACTAGTATATGCAGAACCAAAAAAGCAAAGTTTCATCCAAAGAAAAATCCATAAATAAACTAATGGATACTCTTCATCAGGAAGAGCAGTATTCCTTTGTCAAAATAACCCCCAACGCCACCAACTAATGCTACTTATGCTTTACGTGACCAACCATCCAACAAACAAAAGATTAGCTTTAACTGCATAATCTCTGTGTTTAAGGAGATCAAACAGATATACGCCAAAAAAAAAAAAAAAGATCAAACAGATACGGAAAGCATTTCAAAGAAATTATCTCACTCTTGAATATAATTCCCCAAATCAAAACAAAAGTTGTCCGCTATTCACTAACATTTTCAGAAAATTTTGCACATATGATAGCACTGAACCTCAAGATGGAAGACCATACAAGAGGAGTTAGTATTACCTTTTCTCAACAGCAGAACTTTTCGACATTAGCCCATTACTTGACGGTATTCCAAGACCATCCAACAGAACTTCAAGTCCTCCAATGCTTTTAAAATGATTTTGACCACGAGGGTTCTGAGATAATGTTGAATGAAGAATTCTTAAAGACAAATCTAGAAGTGATGTGTCCGTCCACTGTTCTTTCAAGCTTAACCTTCTGATTACACGCAGCAGCTCTGGAACGAGAACAGTCCCCATCAATGAAAATAGATACAAAGAGAGTACAGGGTTTACAAAAGGCAGTATCATAGTTTGGACATAAGGAATATCATACAGATGCCATAAGAATTGGGGTCTTTAGGCAACTCAAATGCTACCCAAAAGCCAAAAAATGAGGGCCAGGGCCAGAAAAGAGCAGGATCACGGACAACAGGAACTGGGATGGGGTAGTGTAGGATATCCTCATGAATTCTGAGCACTGAACCCAACAGAAACGTAACAATGCTAATAGCACACGCCAGGGACAAAATATGAATTCATTCAACTATTGAAAATATTTCTTTGTAATATGTTTTATTAAAGTAACTTAAAAAGTTTGGAATACATTCAAAAGCAAAGAAGGAAAATAAACAAAAAGAAGAAGAAAAACAAAAGGCTGCCGGAAAAAAAAAAGACTAGAAGGCACAGAGATAATTGAGTTTCAAAATATCAAAAAGAACATACAAAACAATAGCTATAAAAGGCACAACAAAATAGTAAAAAATACCTAAGTAAGTTTCTGAAAATTACCATAAAAATAAAGAGAATTTCTCAGTAAACAAAAGGCCAATTCGTGCATGCCAAAGGGCTAATAATAATAATAATAATATAACAGTAGCAATAAAAAGGGAAAACAAATGAATTTATTTAGCACTTCTGATCTTATTTCCTCAGAAAGGAAATTTAATAATAATAACAATAATCATATATATATATACACACACACACACATAACAAAGAAGAAAGAGACAGAAAAAGGTCATAAATGTAGATTAAATATTTTCAAAAGAAAAGTACAAATGAAAATTAATTTAGAAATTAAATTAAATCATGTATCGAAGATGTCCAAACTGTACCGTTAAATGTCTAAGCTGGTATACTAAAGAAAAAGTTATTTTTAAGAATCTGGCACAAGTTTCCAGTGCGTATCACCAAGTTGAGATGTGATGTATTAGGTTATAAATAAAAAGTTCCTGCCCCATCCTCACCCCAAAAAAAAAAAAAAAACACAACACAAAACACAAAAGAACAAGAAAAAATATTTGCCTACCTTACCTACTAACCAATTAAGTCCACCAGCTTCCATCACAGACACAACTGCCCTCTGATGCCATCGTAACCTTATTTCACTAGAAGGAACCTTTGAACTACCAGAAGAGTCAACTGGAGATGTACCATCCCTTGAAACAGAGCCTATAGTATTACTATACAACTGACCTTTCTCATATACATTTGAATTTAAATCAATGAAACTACATATTATTGACACCACATATACAAGTATTTGTTGCAGGAGTCCAGTCCTCTCCACAGTATAATCAGATGACTTTTCATCAGCTGAAAGTGCACCACTTATCGTTTTAAGCTGGACTACAACCCCTGAAATAAAAATAAAAAACCACAATGTAAAATTAACAATGGTATCCATATACCTCTGGGTTCAACAGACGTTTTGCAAGATTAAGTTAATTCATTAGGGATATTATGACTTCCTTTAAACCTGGGTTAATTCATTGAATGCTTGAATCCGAATGTTTCACTGATTCTATTCTATTTATTAAATAATAATTTTTAGTACAATGCTGTTTTAGACAATGGAAAAAATAAAAGAATAAATTCCTCAAACCAAATCTTTTTTCTTGTTCTCTATCTCCACATAAGTGGCAAACACAATCTAAATCCAAGAGACAATGAAACTTACGGCACTACTGGGCATATTTCGAACAAAATGTGTCACCATAAAAAAGAAAGTGCACTAGCAAATAATAACACACATAAATACCTTTCATTAATGCCGTCAGCTTTTGAATCCCACCATAGTACCCAAAAACTCTGCAATTGTGCAACGAACGGGTAACAATCATAAGAGCATCCAGGAGTGGCATTCCTTCAGATATGATATTTAAGGTCGTGGAATGGCTAGAGAAGTCTGCTGATGAACGAACTGTACTGGTGTTTACTGGATTAACCATGGGAAAAACAAAGTAAACCATAAATGACATAAGAAAACCAAAACTGAAGGAAGGAAGACTACACTTATTAATATAAGAGGGATAGAACAGCCATAAAGAAAATAATTAACCAGATATCAAGTGCTAACATATCAATCTACCATGACCGCATTCCTGAAAAAAATTTCACCAAATGCCTTCCAAAAAGGAGGGGGAGGAAGCACACATAAATTCATATTGACAATAACTTTGCAACAAGATACAATAAAGACGGCAATGAGAGAAGTCAAATGAAAAGTGAGTAGTTACAAATTTGTCCCAAAAGGCACCTCAAACCCCCAAATTTTCAATTAATACCTACCCTACCATGCTGATATAAAAGTAAAATAACTTTTTTATGCAATAAAATTATAAAAGATACGACAAAAGGCAGCGATTAGAAAAGGAAACATTTGGGGTACTTTATGTGCAACCATGCCAACAGCCTCAGTGTCAGTGTTCGTAAAATAATGATACTAAAATAATAATTAACAAAAGCAGAAGTACATTGATTAAGAAACACACGATAACTAACTCTAGGATTGCCTAATAACATTTTGGGTGGAAAGCAGATTCGAAACTACGAAGTCAGTTTCCAAAAATTTTACTCAGCTTGAGTATAAAATATTTTTGTCATGTCCACGGTAATAAAATAAATAAATAGTAACTTCCAAGTTTGGGATCTTAACATTTGGCTAGTGAAGAAGGCCATTCTAAATTGGACTTTATACGGGATATCAATCATAGGGCCAAAAAACTGTCATAAGATAAAGAAAGAATTATTGTTTCACAAAAATTTTACCAGAAGAATTTAATATAGGAATACCGCACACCAAAGCAATTTTCTAAAAACCAAACAGGAAGTTCAACTTACACTCTGCAACCATAGCAGTTAATTGTGTAATCTCTTCAGTAAGTATTAAAATGACTTCTGCAGGATGTCCAGCAAAGCAGCCAGTAACTACATCTGAGTTTGATGAATACTCTGCAGTTTGGATGGTAGTTGAAGCAACCTCTGAAATTTGGCCACAATGTACTGGTTCCCAGTTCTTGTATACAACTAGAAACTGCTTAAGAAAAACATGAAACAGCCTCCTCTTTTCCACCTATAAATTGAGTGAACAAAAAATATATCACAAAATTATAAGCGACAACTAGAGCTCACTAGGAACAAGAAAAGCTATTATTGTCATTTTCTGATATCAATTCATTGCATATATATGTGTCAAAACAAGGACAAATTAAAGTGAGTTGGTCTGATCTTGCACAAGGCCAGCCAGCCCCCAATCTCAGAGAGGAATGTTATGGCTGCAAACTGAATTTTATGTCTGACAATTGACCTAATGATGTATTTAACCAGTGTCCCACTTAGGAGCCCAACCCAAACGACAAAACATTTCTTTACCCTTTCTTGTTTTTTTACAAAACAAAAAGGAAGAATTTATTTGTTTATGGCACGACGAAAAATCCCTTGTTTCAAGTCTTGGACATGGTTCATAAGAACATTGTATAAGTGGCCTAGACAAAATGTACTTATGTATATAACACAATGTATATTACATCAGGAAAAAAAAATTCATAATTACAAGTAGCCTCTAGGGAGCTAGAATTTTGGGATAAAGAATTTGCGAAAGTAATAAACTTCCAAGCATACCTTATCAATAGCTTTTTCGTATCTATCCCAAAGTATATTCAGGACAGCTTCATCTCCAACTTCACTGGAAAAATAAAGGCCATGTCATCAAAATATTCATCCTAAAATAGTTAATAAATTCTCTTATAAACAAATTAGTAAGTAATTCTGCACATTGATGTCACAAATTATTGTAAAAAAAGGAATGACAAACAGTATAATAAAATAAAATAAAATAAAGGTACCAAATGGTTTACTGAATCAGACATCATAAATTTAAAAGTAATGACTTCTTCGATTTGCAGTACCATACAACACACACCCATACTGTGTAATTGCATTGTATGGTTGAACAGCAAATGTGTACAATAGTTACTCATGTAGCTTGCCTTAATGTTGGGCCTGAAAATTAACAAGTATAACAGTTTGTCTGTCGGTATTAATGTAGAGAAGAGATTAGAGTCGTTGGCTAGGATTTTGGGTTGTGAGTTAGGACTAGCCACTTGGAGAGTGACCCTTGAGTTATTTGGGACTTGATTTGGGGGCAATCTGTGTGCTTTATATTTCTGGGATCCAGTTGTTGAGAAAGAGAGGAAAAGATTAGATAGGTGGGGGAGAGAATGTCTTTATAGGAAGGGGGCACTTACCCTGATTTGGTCAGTCTTGAATAGCATTCCCACTTATTTTATGCCCATTGCAAAGTAAAGTAGCTAAAACTTTCAAAAAACTCTAACAAGGGGTTTCTTTTGGGAGAGGATCGGAGAGGGGAAAAATGATCATTTAGATAGATGGGTTCGGTGCACAAACCAAAGGACGGTGGTTGGTTGGCATTAGGAATTTGGTGAAAGGAAATAATGTGTTATTGGGAAAATGGTTGTGGAGATTCCCTCTTGAGCATTACTCCTTGTGGAATTTAGTCATTAGGAGTATGTACAAAGTCCAATAAATGGGTGTGATTCCAGTATTCTAGAGAGAGGTTCGTTTGAAGTTCTCGGAAATACATTTCTCAGGGTTTCTCTTACTTTTCTCATGTATTGCAATTTTTTGTTGTGCACGCTTTCCCTATCCACAATTCTTAGAGATTGCTAGTCAGGTCTTGGCCACAGGACACCTTTCAAGATCACCAGATGGTAGTGAGATCCTATGAAAGGCTTTTGGCTATCAATATTCTCTTCTAACTTTTTTTCTTCATATGAAAAACTTTCATTAAAGGAAAAGAAAGAGTACAAAAACAGAGGACAATGTGTCTTACGGCCACAATATTTAAAACAACCACCAAAAAACTACATCAAATAGCACAGACTACCAGAACAATACTCTAAGACACTACAGCTTTCCAATCAGACAGTATAACAGAAAAGGAATATCCCCTAAATTGTGGAAATACCAGAGCCCATAAAGTAGCTGAAAATCGGACTCTCTCCCACAATTATCAACCTCCTCCCCCCTAACATCATCAAATGCCCTTCTTTTTCTTTCTACCTAAATGAAAGTCTTAAGAATTCTTTCTCCGGATATAGTGATCACCACATTTCTTCGAAGGTTCAATTTCCACTCAGCTTTAGCCTTCATATGGACTCTTTTAATCTGTAGGATACTATGATTTGGACTAAAGACTTATATTAGCCCCTGCCCTAAACAAAGTTTTATTAATAACAACCCTAAAACACAGTAGAAAAACTCAGTGAACAAGAGGTCTGCCAACATCTTGATACAACTCTCATAAAAAAAACATAACCAAATTAAGCATATGACATCCTAAGTCAAAACTCTAAAGACCACCCTACAGCAGCTCCTCAATCTAACAAAATTACAGAAAACAAAATACCTCTAAAGGATAGAGCTGTGGCGGAGCAATATCCCCAAGAATGAGATGCAAGCACCGCCACTGGGCTGGAGACAGTGAGGCCTATAGGCTAGCTTTGGGTTCACTTTTGTTACTAAGGGAGGAGAATAAAATTCTCAACCATTCAGGTTTTTTTTTTTTTTTCAAAAAATTAGACATTTAATTAGCTGAGAGTAACTAGGATCCTTCCAAATATCCCTCAAATCATGCAACAGTAATTAAACATATCAGTCCTTTTATTACAATAGTTGAAGTACTTTACTGTAGTCTGTAATCAATTTAATATAACCTCCCCACAAAAGAAACCACAAAACCATAATTTACAATAACTAACATGCCAGATTAAAACAATCAGTATTCAGTAGTAATCATCATGGTGAAGCATAAGTACCTGAATCGGATCTTCGGACCAGGGGGAGAGAACTTCTGAGCTTGTGACCCTGAAGCAGAATCTCCATCATGGCCACCAGAAGTCCTTCGAATTAGGTCAGCAACACCCTTGACAATATTCATGCTTCCCCACCGCCAAGATTTATATATAAGTCAATGCTTCATTATCCAACAGTTAGGATACGAATGGTAATTCCAGCCCATCACCTTCAACGGGCTCGCCTTTCTATTACATAGTACATAAGTCACCATTAAGTCAGCAAAATTGCTCATACAGCCTAAATCAGACTGAAAAACTGCCACCTAATCCACAAATTTTGGAACCAGTGGAGAAGGACTAAAAATTGGTTGCAGGAATAATTAACAATGAGAGGAGCTCAGTTAAGTTTCTACAATAAATACACTGATTAGAGTTGACTTTCTCTGTTCTTAGAAAATATACAATAAAATCTTCTAAAACCTCCAGCTCATTTTCCATTCCTTTCCTTTAACTTGTTCGCAAACTAACAAAAACACTATCCAACTATCAGAAAACTAACACTTTCATGCAAAAACAGCCTGAATTCAATTCAAATAAGCTGCTAATAAATAATAATAAAATTACACACACACATTATCCAGGACAACATTTAAATATCTGATAAAATGAATGCCAATAAAGATGGTAACTTTGAAAATAAAAACAAATAATGGATCAACGATGAACACTCAAACTCCATGATTGAATTCTATAATACAAATTCATCAATTTCAGGAAGAAAACGATGAGAACCTGATCGGATCGCTGGGTCCAAAATAACGGTTTGGATAGGGTTTCTGATTGGAGATCTGAGCTCCTTCTTCTTCAATGGCGTCAGTGTAGAATCAAGGAAAGAAAATGCGCAAGCCGAAAAAAGAGAAGAAGAAGAAGAAAGGAAGAAAATATAATAAACCCCAAAAACTCGTTAAATTTCGAGATTGCCCCTGCTAGTGTGGTGGTTGATGATCTAGCGGGTGTGGTTTATCTGGGAGTCGAAAATCAACGATAAAAGTTAAAAAAATTATTAACCATCCAAAACGATTCCAAAAACGTCGTCGTTTATTGTCGGTGAAGCTTACAAGCTACCATAGCATTATTCATTTCCTTTTATAAAACGTGTCTTCTCCAAAAAGAAAAAACATAAGTAGATGAGGAATAAAGAGCAAGCATAACAATCTGAAGTCTGATTTGAGCATGCAAATTGGTCGTTGGCCTTCCTTTAATAAATTGATTAATAATATAAAGCAAGAAGCTTCATCCATACGACTGTGGATAAGTAGGTTCGTATCGTATGGCTTTAGAGTTTGGGTCAAAACTTAATTGTCTAGGACTTACACGCTTACGACTTCACATCATATATAACTTGGGTCACTTACAAAACTAACTCGTTTGCATTTCATTTGTTACATTGAAGATAATCATACATGGATATATCATAATCCTAATTTATTTATCCACCTTCTTTTAGGGGTGGCCATAGTCTGGATTGGATTGGTTTCACCTTTAAAATTACGGCCAAATCAATTATAATAGAACGGTTTATTTCGGTTTGATTTCGACAAAAATCATGGAGGAAAATTAACCAAACCAATTACAACAAAAATCATAACTTGCTACATTTTTTTTTCTTCATTTTCTAGCATATCAAACCATCCTAAAATTCAACATGCAAATAACTTCAAAGTTCCATCAAACTTCAAATTCAACATACATATATATATATATATATTTATTATCTACGTGTGTTAAATAAAATGAAATAAATATAAATATACAAGTAGAGGGCCCAATTCAAGTTAGGCCAATTTGTAAAAGTTCAAAACCAAACCATTAGGGTCCAGATTGGTCAATTTAGTTGGATTTATGCCCACCCATACTTTCCCTAATCACTTAGGTTAATACTAAGAATTTAACTCATTTGCTTATTATAAACGGAATATAACATGTAAATATTGACTTAATGATGATAACATCAATAACGAGGTAGCTCTCTCATGTGTCCATCTCAACTCACATCTCAATTTGATCTCACCTATTCCACGTCCACGACTTTGACATAGGCCAATGTAGAATAACTTTTCTAATAACTTTCTTTTGTGCTCTAAATGGATCTCTATCCATCATTTTTAAATCCCCATATACAAGCTATCACTCAACTTGTTCTAAAAGTATACTTTCAATGAAAGTTTATATTGAGATTTATAAAATAACATTTATATATAAAAACTCAAGTATCGCATGAGATTAGTTCTAAAATGAGTTGTATATAAAAGAGCTCATGCCTTCTTCTACAAACCTCTCTTTGCGAGAGCACTTCCACCGGTACTCATTTACCAGGGTAAAAGAGAGTCCAAGTTTGGAACAAGCCCTCCAATAATAAAAGGCAGCCCGACCAAAAATGAGCCCAATTTACCCATCCCAACCCAAAGGCAAGTATTGCCTGAGTTGCCACTTGGGTTTGTTGATCTCATAATTACGTCAATGTGACGTCAGCGATCAATTTAAATATTAAAAAAATACAAAAAAAATCAGATTTTTTTTCTATAAATATATAGCCATGTTCTTCACTTCCCACGCAAAAACTCCATACAAATTTCTCTCATCATATCTCATATGAATAGTGCTTATCTTTACTTGCCATGGCAATGGGTGGAAAAGTAAAATAAAAAAGAGTATGTCAGTCACTATTCATGTAAATAGTGTCTGTCCTTCCTTGTCTTTGCCTTTAGCCATGACACCATTAGTGGAATTGCTATGATATTCTTCTTGTTTTTCTTTATTTGCGCTTATAAGGAAAATCACATGTTTCTACTAATATGGGCTTTTCTTTAGGAAGTTTCACCCGTTGTGGTCCTTTCCTATGCATGAATTGGGCCCTAATTGTTGGGCTTTCTCGAAAAACCGAAAAAAAAATTATTACAAAACAGCTCTCGCTATTTGTGCAAGATGGGCTAGATTTATTCATTCATTTTTCCCATTATCTTGGACAAAATTTATTGTTATAAAATTCATCATCACCACCAATATTTCATCCGTTTCAGTTGTGAACTAACAAACGTACCGTACATTACAAAGCATTCCACAATTCAGGATCTTTATGCCAATGGCTCTCACAGAAAACAAAAAAATATATATATATTATTATTTCAAGAAAGTCAGTGAAATATTATGCATTAAAAATTAAATATGCTGTCAGTCTGCTTTCTTCTTTCGAGATCCGAATTATTTTATTTTTTCTGCGACCGCATTTCCTTTCTTTAAATAGAATTACGCGTCTCCAAGTAGAAAATGTGGTCAGCAAGGCTTCCTTCTTTTGTCTCCTAAAGACGGTCATTTGATGTGTAAGTGGGGCTTATTTAAACCCATAATTCCACCAATTAAAAACTAAACAAATGATCGTCTCCACGTGATTGGCCAGTTTAGCAATCAGTAAGACGAATTACTAGAATCTAATTGTAATTAATTCATGAATTAATTAACAAAAAGTAATTAATTGGTTTTTTATTATTCTTGTGTTGGGTTTAGATAAGGACCACATTCTCCAGTGCATTGTATTATGCGAATGAACCGAGTCCCACAAATATATATAAATACATGATCTTCTCATTAATGTATACCAACTTCTCTCTATAATAAGTCATCATATTGTTTCTTTACGTGAACCTATGGTTTAATTAAATGAACCGTCTTTGTTAGATGTCGTACATGAAATCTCAATGTTACCCTTGTGGACTATATATCACAACATCAAGGATGTAGCGTCGCCTTGTGTATTGGGATAGATATTACAACGCCTTGAAACAAAAAAGAACATAACATGTTCCATTTGGTGACATCATGGCACGCGGTATAACAAACCAAGCTTTTTGAGGTGTAGGATTTGTTCAAATCATACAACAATACGAAATTGATGACAACGCCCACGATAGTTTAGGCACACACATGGTTTTAGTTTCTTCAATAAGGGAGTGTTTGGAAACTCAACTTTAAACTTTTATAACACTTGAAAAAGAAATGTCACTAGCTAAGAGCTAATTGATAGCCCGAAAATCCCCTTCTTCGTTAAAACACTCTAGAGCCATTTTCACTTTGAGGAGAGAGGATGCCATTATTCTTCCTCCCTCTCCCCTATCCCTTTTCCTATCTTCTCCTCTCTCCCTCTATTTTCAGAGACAGAAGGTTTCCCCTATTTGTTTTTGTTTTGTTATGTTTTTCCTTCACTCGTCATAAGTAGATGCGTCTCAGCATCAGATCTTCACTTGTGTTTCAATGTCAGATCATTACCACCATCTTTTTTGTGATTTTTTTTTCATGTTTGAAATAAGTCAAAAAGGCTCTTTGGGGTTTCTGTGTAGTTTTTTCCTCCCATTTTGTGAGAATTTTTCACCTCTCCTGGTACAGCCTCACCTCTCAAACCTGCCTCTCCTCGCAGACCCGTAAGCCCAACATCTCGAAGGCCCACTTGGTTATGGTACCAGTGTCCTTTGTCTTTCCTTAGCACTAAGAGAATAACAATGAGTAGCATATCTACCTTGGGATTGTTGCCACATGTCCCCAATCATCTAGGGTTTCCTTGTCTGTATCTATAAAGATGTAATGAGTCGTTTCTTGGCATAGGCTGAATGTAATTGAAACTTTCCTTCATTTCCTTACTCTTTCATTAACGTCTTCCTGTATTATTCTGCTCCTTTTCCATCTTTCTATAAAGCCATACTCTATCATCTCCTTTGTGAAAGTTTTCCACATCTATTTTGTGAGAGTTTTATTTGTATTGTTATGCCTTTGTTTTTTCAAGCTTTATCTATTTTTTATTGTTTTGAGTTTGCACTTTTAGTTGGGATGTCTATGCGATAGTTTCTTCAATCATGTGTGATCATTAATGGAAGAGCCTTAGATTGTCTTAATTTTGATGTTAGATCGCTCCGTTATTGTAATGGTCATTTGTGGCTAGTTTGTATTGGCCATTTGTGTCTAATGGTATTTTTTTTGCTGAATTATGAATGCAATTCCAGAATTTCTCAAATAAAAAAGGTGATTGATAATTTTACTTGTAATTGCGCAATGGTCTATATCGAACTATGATACTAATGTAATGACATGTTACTTACTTAGAATTTGAATAAGACAGAACCATAATGTAAAAGCAATCAAAATCAAAATCACAATAAAATTGATATTGACATTAATTTAAAAAAAGCAAAATATTTAAATGGGATTTGACCAAGTTTGAATGCGTCAACCATTTCAAACTTATGCTCACTAATCTTTACTAAATCACCCCACATTTTGATTCATGTTTCTTTTCAGTTTAAACCAAGTTGTTGTAATAAAGTAATCCATATAAGTTGGCTCAGACTGCTATTTCATGTGATGGTATGCCCCTGTGGATTGAAGATGGTCCACAAAGGCGGGATGCAAGTTGTTTGGCTATAAAAGGACTGAAAAATTGTTCGATAAACAAACATTTTTAGAAAGATATTTAAAATAAGGATATTCAGCTTATACCAATTAGTCTTTGAATTAGTGGTAGTAGTCTAAAAAGAGGTTAAAAAATTTAGCTCACATAAATTGAATGACAATACTTATTTACGGTGAATTCAAAATCTGATTGTAACTGATATGTAATTTTGATTCGACTGAATTATCCCGTTGTCATAATAGACATAAATAATATATCTCCGCTTATATTTTCTTTTTTCTTCTTTATGTGAAAATCCCACGTATCTTTATATCGTAATATACCAATTACAATCACATTGCCTGCTCAAATGAGGCACTTTGAACTTCCAATATAATAAACAAGCAAATTTTCTAGGATTTGGATCCTCATGCCTTCAAAATAATATATATAAATTGCTTGGTA